AAAAAATAGACTTCATAATATATTAAGTGGACCTAATGATATCAAGAATAGACTACATATCATATAATGTGGACTTAATGAAATAAAGAATAGACTACATATTATATAAAGTGGACTTAATGATATAAGGAATACACTACATATTGTATAAAGTGGACTTAATGATATAAAGAATAAAATACATATTATATAAAATGGACTTGCTGATGTAAAAAATAGACTTCATAATATATTAAGTGGATCTAATGATATCAAGAATAGACTACATATCATATAATGTGGACTTAATGAAATAAAGAATAGACTACATATTATATAAAGTGTACTTAATGATATAAAGAATACACTACATATTATATAAAGTGGACTTAATGATATAAAGAATACACCACATATTATATAAAGTGGACTTAATGATATTAAGAATACACAACATATTATATAAAGTGGACTTAATGATATAAAGAACACACCATATATTATATAAAGTGGACTTAATGATATAAAGAATAGACTACATATTATACAAAGATGACTAAATGATAAAAAGAATACACTACATATTATATAAAGTTGATTTAATGATAAAAAGAAAAGGCTACATATTATATATAGATGATAATGACATAAAGCAAAGACTTCATATTAAAAAAAGTAGACTTAATGATGTAAAGAATAGGTTACATATTATAGATAGTGGACTTAATAATATAAAGGATATACTTAATGTTACGTAAAATTGACAATATGATGCATATTTTGTACCCTTATCGCAGCATATTGTGTTCCAAAGACATATTATAGAAAGTGGTCTTAATGATATAAAGGATAGACTATATAATATATAAGATGGACTTAATGATATAAAAAATAGACTTAATGTGATAGGCATCCGACTTTGTAGCATTTGAATTTGACAGCATATCAAAGCTTTTGTACTACATAGTATATAAAGTGGACTTAATGTTATACAGAATAGACTTTATGTAAAATTGACACTATGATGCATATTTTGTACCCTTATGACAGCTGAGGCGTTCCATATCATACGAGTCCTGATACACTATGATATGAAAATACTAGTCGTAACAGATTGATTTCAGTTAAAACCATAAGATCATTTGCCAAGTAGTGGTTCAGTAATTACTAAAATTTCAGCCATAGATGTAATTTTTTTAAAATTTAAACTTTGACAGCTATTTACTAGAATAAAGAGACGTAGAGAAAGCAAAATTTCTCATCATTCGATTTTTTCCTTGTCGATCAAGCCATTCTCGTCAATGAATGTCATCTCGTTTTCGTAAGAATCAAGATATTTCTAAATAAATTTATTTAAGGAATTTTTAGCCCAAAAATGAATGTTTTAGAAGAACAATTGAGTCAGAGATTAAGACAAATGACGTTTTTAAAAAAAAAAAAAAAAAAAAAAAAAAAAAAAAAAGTCATGCAAACTATTTTAAGTAACATTTATTAATCTAATTGGCTGATCAGATCGAATAGCCACACATGCAAGAAACTTGCAATTTATTTTGCACAGAGAACAGGCACTAGTTTGAATTTTTTCCCTAATTTTCTAATACAGCCTATCGTTTCCTACATCAAAAATATCTTAAAGTAAACTGACATCTTCAGTAGTAAAATTTTCAGAATATTCAATATTAAAAAGGTTTGTAATAGAGATATTTCTGAATATGAATTGAATCCGAATCTGAAAATGAATCTGAAACGAATCTGAATCGGAGGGATCGCGATCCCGATTTGAAAAACGAAGAAAGATAGCATCATAAGATATCTTAATTATACAATGAATAATAATAATATATGATTAAACTGTGATTTATTTTTCAATTTTACGATGATGAGGAATATATCGAATCTTAACTAATTCAGACATAGTTACTTTTGCGAAATACCATCGTTGGATACCCACGGGTGATCTCGTTTTTTACTCATCACCCGGTGATGAATAAAAGACGAAATCACCCATGGATATCCGATGATGGCGAAATACAAGTACATGTATCTATGTTTAATATGTCATTGAAATGCCAAGTAACAATAATGAAAAAAATAGTGGATGATGTTTATATTTTTGTCATTGAGATGGGGCTGTTATAAAAGGGATGTCAAGTTCTATAGACTGAGTAACACAACAGGTACCCTTTCAACTCACGGAAAAACCTGCTCGTTCGTTTGTTTGTATGTTGTTTAACGTCCCTCTCGAGAATTTTTCACTCATATGGAGACGCCACCACTTGCCGGTGGAGAGCTGCAAATTTTGTCCTATACTCGGCACTTATGGCCATTGAGCAGTGAGGGATCTTTTTCGTGCCAGCACCTACTGCGACACGGGACCTCGGTTGATACGGTCTCATCCGAAGGACCGGTCTCCACGTCCCACAGTGGGATTTGAACCCGCGACGTAAGGATCAACTCCTTACGCCGCGACTCTAGAGCAGACGCTCTAACTACTGCGCCACGCGGGCGACTCGTAAAAGTATCATTGTTGTATTATTCACCTGCTTACATTATTTGTTCCTCGCAAGAATCGTGTTTTGCACTCCATTTTTAAAAATATTTTGTGTAAATGTGTATATACGAGTTATTTTAGATATTTATATCTAATTGAAAATTATGTCGAATAAATAACGTTTTCAGCAACCCCTTGGCTACTTTCTCGCAGCCAAATTTTTGTCAATGTTTTTGGCGATTTACATTGACGTTTTTAAAAGTTTTCTTTCATTTCTCGGAAAATTTCCTTGATCGGCAAAGATTTAATGTAGCTTGTTAAATTGAATACTGAATAGTAAAGAGTTTAATTTGTCTTCTACATCTCAAAGAACACAATTTATTCTCCCGAGGAACGAATATCTAGTGAGTTGAACAATAAAATTAATACAAAACTGATAGCTTTCGTGTGTATTAAAAGACACTTATTCCTACATGTAGAATGTAATATGGCTGATCTATGGGATGCAGTTACAGTACGAGAATGGGCGAAACTGAACAAAAAACAAAGTCCAAAAACTTTATTTATGAGGGACATAACCGTAGTATCTGATAATATTGTGTACTATATAACGGCAAAATTATTGGGAGGGGGGTTATCATGTCTCCCCATTTTTTACGGGCCTGATATCAAACAATTATTTTCGACGACTTGAACTGAAGGCGATCAAGCGGTGGAAGGTGTCAAAGTAGTTCAGCGCTGCCCCCTATTTTTCAGAGTTATCAATTTGTGCATAATATAGTTAGCAAAGATGATCTTGTCAGCCCCTCCCCCATCCACCCCCTCCTTTGGGAAACACGAACGGACCCCACGTACATGTAAGCTGGTCGAGGAGAACTACACAAGCATGACAAGCCCCCACACAGATAGGTTTTTTCACATCCAGAGAGAGTTGGGATTTTTTTGTCAATAAATATCCGAGTCGAAAAAAATAGGGTGAGTATTTATCTCCCTGTAGGAATTTATTAGTATGCCCCCCCCCCCCACCCAGCCCTAAGCAATATTCCTAGTTCACCCTTGACAATTCTAACACACTCCATAGCCCTCAAGAAAAAATAAACCTAGCTTACTTTATGAACTCTTATTTTTTCATTGCTACAAGTAATGTTTAAATATAACATCCATATACGATTTAAAACATGGACTTATTACTCCCAGGATTTGGTGGTTGTGTTTTTTTTTTTTTTGTTTTTTTTTTTTTGGGAGGGGGGTCACAAACACTTTAACTTTTTTATACAGAGTACATATTGATATACAAAAGAAAAAAAAACATGCATTCATTTTCAAATCGGGATCGAGATCCCTCCGATTCAGATTCGTTTCATATTCATTTTCAGATTCGGATTCGTTTCATATTCAGAAACATCTCTATTTTGAAAATGGATGATAAAGGAAACAATTTTGATACTGCTAGCTTGACGTTAAGTAAAATACTCGAAGCACTGATAATTATTTTACAAATTAATCTCAGTTCAAATGTTTTTATAAACAATGTTTTTTTTTTATCTGGACAGGTCGAAATACGACAGTTTTAAATCAGTACTAGTATATTTCTCTATATATATATTCATTTTCAGCTCACCTGAGCTGAAAGCTCAAGTGAGCTTTTCTGATCACCAGGTGTCCGTCGTCCGTCCGTCCGTCTGTAAACTTTTCACATTTTTGACTTCTCAAGAACCACTGGGCCAATTTTAACCAAACGTGGTACAAAGCATCCTTGAATGAAGGAGAGCTTAATTTATAAAAATGAAGGGCTAAGTCCCCATCAAAGGGGAGATAATCAAGATAATACAAAAATTGGGTGGGGTCATTAAAAAATCCTCTTCTCAAGAACCACTGGGCCAGAAAGACTGAAACTTATGTGGAAGCATCCTGGGGTAGTGTAGATTCTAAATTGTTCAAATCAAGACCCCGGGGGTAGGGCGGGGCCACAATAGGGAATCCAAGTTTTACATTGAAATATATAGTAAAAATCTTTAAAAATCTTCTTCTCAAGAACCAATGGGCCTGAAAGGCTGAAACTTATGTGGAAGCATCCTGGGGTAGTGTAGATTCTAATTGTTTAAATCATGACCCCTGGGGGTAGGGCGGGGCCACAATAAGTGCTCCGGGATGGGGGATGAGAGAAATCAGGTGAAAAACAGCAAGGCCAAAGTTACTCAGGTGAGCGCTGTGGCCCATGGGCCTCTTGTTTGTTTGTCTTCATTTATACTTTCATTTTATTTAAATGTTTTCCATATTTTCTTTTGACTTTAGATTTTGAATGGTTTGTTTTGATTGTTTCTTATTTGCTGTCTGCTATTAAGGGGAAAGTAGGTGCGATCTCAGTTGATCCGTGACGATATGACAAAAACTTTCGATCTACTAGGAAAAGAAAACTGCCAGGAATGATTTAACGGAAGTAAGTGTTGTTTTCATAAATAGTTATGTACTAATTAAAAGAAAATGCATTCGACATAGAATAATGTGGCGAATGCATAATCCTGGATCTTAAATTTTTATAGTGAGGCTTCGACCATTCTAAGATTGAGACGCTAACATAAATAACCTGTTATCGGTAGAACTATTTGAAGGATTTCTTTACGGTTGAAAGTTTATTTACTGCGGCTATAGTGTTTAATATAAGAAAAGACCATAATCTGTTGAAATAGAGAATACACAGGATAATTTCGGCTACCAGCCGCACCTTCATTTCCTATACAAACACCAGTGATGTTTTGACTGATTTTTTTCGATGACTCATGCGATAGGCTACCAGGCAGACAGAACCAATGAGCATTCCTTTGTTAGTAGAGAATCTGCTGAGGTAAACATTATGTCGTTGAATGATTTTTTTTTTAAATTCAGATAACTAAGCTGGTGTAAAGGAAATAATAGATGACCGGGGATCATTTTTCGACGTCGAAAAATGACCATTTTGCCTGCATGTAGAAAAAGTGACTTCACCCTTAAAATCTCGGGTATGTGTAAAACACAAAACGAGAAACAAGAAACGCGAAACGAAAAACAATGGAATGAGATTCAGCATACAATAACATGTCAACACAGAGGGACAGTTTGTGGTTTTGCTTTCATTTTGATACATAACAGATGCAGAGTGAAATGAAAACATCTAACTGAAGTCAGCTTTATCAGTGACCCGCACAACTATCTCACGCAGAAAAAAATATATATTGTTGACAAATTTAATTAATACAATACTATTACCTGAAAGAAATTCTTACTCAATTTTTGTTTATAATAATAAATTTGTCATCAAATGATACCTTCAGTGATAAACTACTTGAATGTATTTCCGCTGGGGTACTATATAACGGTCCAAATTTCTATGTTAGAACTCTAACTATACCTTTGTCTAAAAAAATAGAAGCAATTATTACAGATCATTAGCTTTTTACTACCATAATTCCATGAAAATCTTTGTGATTTAGTAATTCTGGTAATATTATAGGTGAAATTTAATGTCGATGTTATAATAATAGCTTTCCTAATACTACATATGTATTTTTATATTGAAATATATTATTAAATGTTTTGTTTATTCTTTGATTATGTAACAATCAGATAGTAATACTAGTATGAGGTGATATGTCTTACCAGTTACTAAATCATGAACTTTTCACTTTGTTGATATCTTATTAAATCTGTCAAGATTATATCAGTAAGCTGTGCGGACTCGCTGATAAATCTGACCTAAGTTAAAAGTTTTAATTTCACTTAGCATCTGTTTTCTAACAAAATAAAATCAAGGCAAAAGCTGTCTTTTGGTTGACATTTTGAGGTCATTGGTTACTTTTTTATTCCGTTTCTCATTTCTCGTATCTTGTTTCTCGTTTCGTGTTTTACACATACCCTAAAATCTCCATATCCTACGTGAAGAAAAATGACCCCCGTAGAATAATGACCCCATGTAGATTTTATTATGGATATATTTTCTTTTGGATTTAAAAGATTAAAAATTATAAATCAAGAGGCCCGTGGATCAAAATGCTCACCTAAGGTAAATTGAGGACACAGCGACGATCTGTTGTTCTTATTAAATGTAAACAATATTAATTGACTTCAATCAACTCTGTGAAAATTCTTCCACATTGATTTGACTAATTTTTCATTGTTTTAAAGAAGATTTCCTTTATTTATATTCCGGGGGGGGGGGGGGTAGAGAAATTTGTTTGTTTGTTTGTCGTTGAACGTCCCTTTTGAGAATTTTTCACTCATTTTGAGATGACACTACTTGCCGAAATCATTCAAAAGAATTTTAAAATTTGTTATAACAAATCAAAATTCGTTTAAACAAATTCCATTTTTTTTATAACGTTTTATATTCGTTTAATCAAATTCAACATTTAGGGCCTATAGTAAAATATAGATAAATTCGATATAACGAATTGTTGAATTTGAAAACGAATTTACATGTAATTTGTTAAAACAAATTAGAGAATATGTTTCAACGAATTTAATTTGTTATAACAAGTTTTAAAATTCGTTAAATCGAGTTTAATTCGTTATAACGAATTCAAGAAATTTGTTATTACAGATTAAATTCGTTATAACGAATTCAAAGAAATTGATATAACAAATATACATGTAATTCGTTATATCAATTTCGACAATTCGTTATATCAAATTCAAAAACATTTTTGATACATGTAGGTCCTAAATGGGCTTCTGTACAGAGATAAACCTTGTTCAAAGAAGAAACATGAAATCTGTTCGAACAAATATGTAATTTGTTAGATTATACAAGTAAATATCCACTTCGTTCGAACAATTCCGAACAAAAACAATTTAATCTATTTTCTTCTAGCCTACGAGTGTACATAATTCGTACGACGAAAGAATGTATTTATCCAAACAAATATTTTGTTCGTCTGCATAAAGAACTAACTTGTCAGAACTATTATCTTGTCAGAACAAATGTCTAATTTGTCCGAATTGTATTGCATGATATCCCATATTTAAAAAAGTTATTGCCTTCATGAATTCTTGTAAATTTCTTGAAGTTATCAAGATTCTAAAATTACAAAATGTATTTACAAACAAGGTCATAAAGTATTCAACACCTACACATCTGTTATGTATTCAAGTTAATTGAACCTGTTGCTATTAGGGATTGAATACCTTAATGTCTTTATTGCTGATTTAACATAAAACTCAGCTAGCTTCTGATTGCCTGACTTTCCTAAAGCTTTGTCTTATATACCTTTTGGTTAGTGCATTCCAAGGGTCAGGTCATTTCACTATTTAGAGTCTTCAATGCGTTTTACTCAAATGGCCCTTAACCATTTCACCTATATATTCCTATGTAATACTTTGACCTACTGTTGTTGCCCCGCCCTACCCCCAGGGGCCATGATTTGAACAAATTTGAATCTACATTACCTGAGGATACTTCTATATTAATATGACTAATAATGGCTTAGCTGTTCTTGAGAAGAAGATTTTTAAAGGAATTTCCTATATATTCCTGTGGTAAACTTTGACCCCCTGTTCTGGCCCTGCCTGACCCCCAGGGGTCATGATTGGAACAAACTTGAATCTACACTACCTGAGGATACTTCTGTATTAATATGACTAATAATAGCCTAGCTCTTCTTGAGAAGAAAATTTTTACAGGTATTTCCTATTTATTCCTATGATAAACTTTGACCCCCTCTTGCGGCCCCGCCCTACCCCAAGGGGTTATGATATGTACAAACTTGAATCTAGAATATGTAATGAAGCTTTCACATAAGTTCCAATTATTCTTGCCCAGTGGTTCTTGATAAGAAGATTTTCAGAAGACGCTACCAAATTTTCACGAATTCTTAATTATCTCCCCTTGAAAGAGGGCGTGGCCCTTCCTGTGAACAAACTTAAATTCCCTTCACCCAAGGATGCTTTGTGGCAAGTGTGGTTGAAATTAACCCTAGTGGTTCTTGAGAAGAAGTCGAAAATGTGAAAAGTTTACAGACGACAGACGGACGGCGGACACTCTTTGATCAGAAAAGCTAACTTGATCCTTCGACTCAGGTGAGCTAAAAATCTTAAATGTAAATGGACTTGTGAAGTTTCATAAAGATTGCTGAAACCAATCGTGAGAACATTCCTTTACAAAATTTGTCTTTTTTTTTTTGTTGTTGTTGTTTCCATGGCATCGAAATATTTAATGAACATTTACATTTGCTGATCGTCATTTCTGAAAAGTTTCATTAAGTTTTCAAAGACATCTCCAAGAAAATGCTCGGACAAAATAATAGGTCTAGAGATAACAATATGGCGTCATGACATACTTGCTTGATGACATAATAACAGCTTTAACCAATAGCCACTGTGACGTATCTATTGTGCAATTTTAATTGTGTGCTGAGATCACGATAAGTCTGAATAAATAGAAGCACATGTAATGCTGTTAAATACTTTTTGATTGCGTTTTCGCCCAGAGTTAATAACAAGAGGCCCATGGGCCACAACGCTCACCTGAATAACTTTGGCCCTGCTGCTCTTCACCAGACGATCTTTTTGTAATACCTATTGTGACCCCGCCCTACCCATGAGGGTCATGATTCTAACAATTTGGAATCTACACTACCCCAGGATGTTTTCATATAAGTTTCAGCTTTACTGGCCAAGAGTTTCTTGAGGAGAAAATTTTTAAAGATTTTTCCTATATATTTCAATGTAAAACTTGGATTCCCTTTTGTGGCCCCGCCCTACCCCCAGGGGTCAAGATTTGAATAGTTTAGAAGTTACGCTGCCTCAGGATGCTTCTACAAAAGTCTTAGCATTCCTGACCAAGTGGTTCTTGAGAAGAAGATTTTTTTCTATATATTTCAATATAAAAATTGGATTCCCTATTGTGGCCCCGCCCTTCCCCCGGGGGTCATGATTTTAACAATTTAGAATCTACACTACCCAAGGATGCTTCCACATAAGTTTCAGCTTTTCTGGCCCAATGGTTCTTGAGAAGAAGATTTTTAAAGATTTTGTCTATATATTTCAATGTAAAACTTGGATTCCCTATTGTGGCCCCGCCCTTTCCCCGGGGGTCATGATTTGAACAATTTAGAATCTACACTACCCCAGCATGCTTCCACATGAGTTTCAGCTTTTCTGGCCCAGTGGTTCTTGAGAAGAAGATTTTTAAAAAACATTTCTATGTATTTCAATGTAAAACTTGGATTCCCTATTGTGGCCCCGCCCTTCACCCGGGGGTCATGATTTTAACAATTTAGAATCTACACTACCCCAGCATGCTTCCAAATAAGTTTCAGCTTTTCTGGCCCAGTGGTTCTTGAGAAGAAGATTTTTAAAGATTTTTCCTATATATTTCTATGTAAAACATTGATTCCACATTGTGGCCCCGCCCTACCCCCGGGGGTCATGATTTGAACAATTTAGAATCTACACTACCCCAGGATGCTTCCATATAAGTTTCAGCTTTACTGGCCCTGTGGTTCTTGAGAAGAAGATTTTTTAATGACCCCACCCTATTTTTGTCTTCTCTTGATTATCTCCCCTTTTGAGGGGACTTGGCCCTTCATGTTAACAATTTAAATTTCCCTTCACCCAAGGATGTTTTGTACCAAGTTTGGTCAAAATTGGCCCAGTGGTTCTTGAGAAGAAGTCAAAAATGTGAAAAGTTTACAGACGGACGGACAGACAGACAGACGGACAGACGGACGGACGAACGACGGACAAAATGTGATCAGAAAAGCTCACTTGAGCCTTCGGCTCAGGTGAGCTAAAACGCAAGAAAAATACCTGTTGAAACCGAAACCTTTCCTTTAAACTTTTTATCACTATATTCAGATGGGAATAATTTTT